AGCAACTTGAACTTCCTCCTCCATCACCATAGGCTCTTGCTCATGTTATTTCATGAAATTCCTCTGTGTCAGCCAATTCCTTCTGATACAGTGACTCTGTGTACTCCTTCCATCTTCTTCTTTTTTTTTCCCCCTTCCATCTTCTTTTGATACTTCCTGGATCATTCAACATTCTACCCAAACTATCTTTAAGTATTGCCAGCTGTGGCTTGAAACTGCATATGTAGGTATAAACTATATAGGTCAGAAGTGTGGTTTAAAATGACCTCAGCTGTCAACTAGTGGATCGAACCACATGACATCTTTGGTTTTGGAGCCCCTAAATGATCAAACTTTGGCAACTTCACATGGTCTTACTTCTGATTGAAGTAGCTTTTGCGAGGGAACTCAGATGGCTTAATGGTCGTAAGGAATCTTACTGCCAACCCAAAGGTGTGTGGTTTGACTCCACCAGCTGCTCGACCAGAGAAAGCTGGGCAGTCTCCTCCCTTGAGATTTACTGTACCTGAAAGCCCGCCAGAGGGTCAGCTGTTAGTCAGTTGTGTACAACAAGAAGAATGGCTTCTTAAGGAACCTTGGTGGTGCCGTAGATTAACCATTGGGCTACTAATCAAAAGATTGTCAGTTTGAATCCACCAGCTGTTCCATGTGAAAAAGATAAGGGAGAATGCTTCCATAAAGATTATACTCTTAGTGTCATTAACTCATTACATTAGTCAGTTGTAATTAACGTTACAAAGCAAAATGTAATTAATGTTACAAAGCAAAATGTTTAAGGATGACTGAGTGAAAAGCCACTACGATATGTAAACTTTATCTCGAATAAACTAAATAACTAAAACACAAATCCCAAATTTACCCTCTTTTTAACTATTATTATTATTATTTTGTGTGTACCAATTTTGTGTCAAATCGGATCTGACTGGTACAGGAAGAGATTGCCCCTCCTTCTCCAGCAGAGCATCTGATGGATTCGAACCATACACCTCCGGATTGCAGTGCAGCTTCTTGGCACTAGGCCACCAGAGCTCCCTCAAATTTACCCTCCTGAGTCTCCCTTGGAGCAATTCTCTGCCCTGTTGGGTTTCTGTGAGTGGGAATCCACTTTGGTCTATGGTGGTGGGAAAATGGCTTCTTAAAACCTTTGCTTTTAAATTTGTTAATATTTCATCTTTCAATAGGAAAGATACTAAGCTTGTTTCTGGTGCAAGTGACAGAAACACAAACATCATAATACCCTGTGGAAGTTGGCCCAGAAATAGAAGTACAAATAACAAGATGCAGACAAACATAATGTAGGATTAGGTGGGGTCTTAGAATCTGTCTCCACTTGTAGTACTTTTCATTTGCAGAAATTGAGATCCAAAAAGTTATAGGAGATTTCATTAGAATTCAGGTTTCTTAATTACTAATATATTTATATCACGTTTCTTTTCATGTTAGTCCTTAGGTAACTCTGTGTGTGTGTGTGTGTGTGTGTGCATGTGTATTTGTGCTCTTATCAATTATTCTAATTTATTTTCTTATCAGTTATTTTAAATTTTTCTTATGTTGAGCATGATTGTTTTGGTTGGAGACAGTACCACTGAAATTGGGTTGGAATTAAATGCTGGTGGGGTCTTAGAGGGATTGAATAAGAACTGTTCATCAAAAGATGAACTGTTCATTCAGGCATCGTCTAGTCCCAGATCCCCACTTCCTGACTAACTGACCATCGTAGCATGTGGAAATAGAGCTTCTCATTTTTATTTTCAGCTGATTTACTGCAGCTCATCAGATTATGTCCTCACATTGAATTAATCCAGTGTCTCACAAAAGAATGGAATGGAAAACCACCGTCTCTACCTTTGTGTCTTGTTGTACTTCATCTGTTCTCTGTAGATCTGAAAAAAGTTGGTGTGAAGCTGCTTCAAGAAGTAAATAAATGCGGGAAAGGTAGGTAGAGTGAAAAACTGTGGAAGAATTAGCATTTATGTAGTAGTATAGTTATCGCATGTGATGTGATATACAAAATAGGGCTACTTAGGGACCAGAATGGGAGAAAGGAAGTTTTTCATCACAGTTGAGATACTTGGACCTTGTGGGAAGGAACACAATGATTATGCATACGTTAGCTCAGATCTTTCGTGAGTTCTTTTTCTGACAAAAGTTAACATTAGAAGTCTGTATATGTAAAGATTAAAATGCTGATAATGGTATGTTGACAAAACATGTCAATTCTCGAGGAAATTATAATGAAGAGACAGTCTTTATGACACTTGGGGAAATAGGTCCTAGCTAACGCGATGCTAAAAATGTATACACATTAAAACATGTATATTTAAGGGAGCTCTGGTGGCCTAGTGGCAAGAAGCTGTACTGCAATCCTAGGGGTGTGCATTTCAAATTCACCAGATGCTCTGCTGAAGAAGGAGGGGCCATCTGCTTCTGTACCAGTCAGATCCGACTTGATGGTACACACACACACAAAGAATAATAAAATAAATTTTAAAAAACTCTCTAGGCATATTTAGAAATCCTTTTATGTGTTTTAAATGCTATTTGGGAATAATTGTTTAATTTTTCCCCCTCTACCAAATATGTGCATATTTACATAATATTCTTGGAAACAGGAGTGTCATCCACTTCCTAAATAACATGCCTATGGAAACCTATGAACTCTGATAAATGTTGATGGTTGTAGAGGGGCTTCAGGCCTTTTGTTCATAGGGTCGCTGTGAGTCGTGCTCAACTCAAAGACAATCAGCAATAGCGACAACATAATACCCAGTCTGAACCTCATTCTGCAGAGAAGTCTAAAATAACTAATTAAATTTTAGTGATTTCTTTCTTTACACTAATTATATATAGGAATTTGAGTGGGCAGACTTGATCTTAAATTGCTGTATGGAGCTAATGAAGGAACAGCATTAAATGATCTATAAATTACATGGAAATGTATTTTGGAAAATAATTTTGTATTGTGAAGTTATCATAAAATGTACCAGCTAAAATGTATTGTTTGATGGGAAGAAAAAAATCATAAGAAGAAAATAACTGTGATGACAGTATTATGACAAGAGCGTTTCGTGGAGTCCCAGAACTAACATAGCTAATAGATAAGAAATGAGTTCCAGAGTCACTAAAATTTATTTTCAAAATAAATAATAAAAGAAAAAATTAAAAAAAAACCCAAAAAAGTAAATAATATAATCATTGCTATGTGCCCTTGAGTTTATTCTAACTCTTAGCAACTCTGTAGCCCAAAGTAGAACTCACCGGGTTGCCTCTGAAATAATAGCATTCGATTTCTTTAATAAACAAGATCTTTTCCTTCCTTTAGAAAAGTATTTGTTATAGGATCTCCATCATTTCGAGATTTCTGTCTGGAGATAGCATGAAGGTTTCTCTAAAATTAAAATAATGATCACCTACCTATTGCCTTTGAGTCAGAATCCACTCTAACCTGACTCTTCAGTGGGTTTTCAGAGGCTATAAATTGCACAGAAAGAGATTGCCTATTTTTTTGCCTATGGAGTAGCTGATGGATTTGAACCATCAGTCATTAGGTTGGCAGGACAGCTTTTTACTTGCTAGGCCACCAGAGCCCCTTAAGGTTTACCAGAGAGTTTCTGAACTCCATGAGTGAGCCCTACTAGGGCCTCCATCGAGCATTGAAGGGCAGTGAACACTACTAGGCTGACTGGCCTTCCCTTGCTGGATAGTGTGATTGTGTTTTCTCTGGAGAACGCTGAGCCCACCTGCTTCACTTTCTGTGCTCCTTGTATCCTCCAACGTCTTTTCCTTACCAAGAGTAAGAGTGGAGTGAGAGGCACGGCAGAGGGTTGGACTGAGATAGACTCCACAGTTCACATGTTCTACTGTTAAAATTATAGGAGTAACTGTTGTGAGACGATGTCACTTTCTAGTTGTAAAGAATCATAAACCATGTGTTATGAAAGATAGCTAAGTGCCATACTAGTAATGTTGGATTTTTCCCCCCTCAGATGAAATCGCACATCTTATAATAAGTGATACACTTTGCACCTTAGAAGAGTGGCAAGAAATGGCAAATATTTGTGTCCAGAATGGCTTTGACAAATTATCCAGTGACATCTTATCCAGTCTTCAGTCACAGGCCGTAATATCAGAAATTATTGAAGAAGACAATACGGTCAACCTAATGGAACATGTTTTTTGGTAGTCCCATGCCTCAGCCAGTGGAGGGCGCTGACACAGTAGTTCATGTGGGTGAGCTGGACAAACTGACCTTGGCATAACTGGTAAATAAACCGAGAGTCTGAAGCTCTCAGAAACCACTCGCTGTTCTTCTGTTATGTTGACAGATTTGCCCTTGACAAGTTTATAGGATAGCTCCCTAGCTTTATATCAAACTCATATGTTGTTGTTGGGTGGCGTCGAGTCACTTGCGACTCATAGTGACCCTATATACAAGAGCCCTAAACCCTGCTCCATCCTGTCCCAACCTCACTGTCTCTGACAGGCCCATTCCCATGAGCCCAGTCACTGAATCAATCCATCTCATTGAGGGTCTTTCTCTCTTGTGCTGTCCCTCCACCCTCCCAAACATGATGTCCCTCTCCAAGGACCAGTCCCTCCTTTTAACATGCTCAAAGTATGTCAGATAAAACTTTAGAATCCTTGCCTTCAAGGAGCAGCCCAGCTTCACCCTCTCCAGGACGAACCTGTTCTCCTGGTAATCCATGGTATATTCAACACTCTTCTCCAGCACCACAACTCAAAGGCAGCAATTCTTTTTCTATCATCCCTAGTCACTGTACAGCTCTCTGACACATACACACAATTGAGAAGACTCCTGGATCTGGCTTACTTTAAGTCTCCAACCTGAAGTTGTTTCTCTTCAGTAATCTGGAGAGGTCCCTGACAGCTGACTTTCCCAGTGCAATTCGTCTCTTAATTTTCCTGGCTGCTGGTACCAAGAGTGTTGATTGTGGAACCAAGTAAACTAAAGCTGTTAACTATCTCAATCTCTTCATCTTCCATTATGATGCTGCCAGTTGGCCCAGTGGTGAGAATCTTTGTTTTCTTGATGTTGAGCTTCAATCCATATTGAAGACTGCAGCCCTTGACCTTCTGCAGCAAGCGCTTCAGGTCCTCCTCAGTTTCCGCGAGCAGGGTTGTGTCATCTGCATAACGCAGGTTGTTGATGAATCTTCCTCCAATCCTGATGCCAGCTGACTGGAAGAGATTGGTATTTGTTCCCATTCCAAAGAAGGGTGATCCAACAGTGTGGAAATTATTGAACAATACCATTAATATCACATGCAATCTGTCTGTGTTTCATTGACTATGCAAAGGCTTTTGACTGTGTGGATCACAACAAACTGTGGTTGACTTTGAGAAAAATGGGAATCCCAGAACATTTGATTGTGCTAATGCGAAACCTATACTTGAACCAAGAGGCAGTTGTCAGAACAGAGCAAGGGAACACTGCATGGTTCAAATCGGGAAGGGCGTCCACCAGGGATGTATTCTATCTCTATACCTTTTCAATCTGTATGCAGAACACATCATCCGAGGCACTGGGCTGTACAAGGATGAATGTGGCCAACTCATATAGGCATTTCTTTTTTTAATTTTTTTTCCTTTTTTATTAATTTTAATAAGCATTTATAGAGATTTTGGATTTCCATTCATTCATTGATAGGCATTTCTAAGTAAGTGGATGTCCAGATGGATTCTTGTTGGCTGGTGTGATTTGATAACAAGAACTGAGGGAGGCGGAGGTGGTGTCCCATGAGTTAGACTACCTGACTTCTGACCCAAACAGGAGAATGCCATTTCAAGGCTGAGCTCTGAGAACTCTGGTGAGTATAAAAATTTCATACCGCCAAGGCAAGGAACGCTGCGCTGTGTGTTACTGTAACTGTTGTTGGATCCTGTCGAGTTGGAACCGACCCATAGCTGACCCTCCAGTGGGTTTTTGGAGGCAGTAAATGGCATGGAAGGGGATCGCCCATCCTTTTCCTATGGAACAGTTGATGAACTTGAACACATGGCTCTGGGATGCCTTAGGGAGCTCTGGTGGCTTATTGGTAAGAAACTGTGCTGCATTCCCAAAGGCACATGGTTTGAATCCATCAGCTCCTTTACAGGAGAAAGATGGGCAGTTTCCTCTCGTGTAACTTAGTGTCTCTGAAAACCCGCTGGAGGGTGAGCTATATATCAATTCCGACTTGAAGAAACACAACAACAACAATGCAAGAAGTACGACTTGCCTTGATATATACATCCACAGCAAAATTAGGCTTCTTTTGCAAAGTCAGAATGTTGGCATGTTCTAAATTTTGCGTTGAAGTAGAACGAGGGCATCAGTAGACATGGGAACTCTGACAGGACAAGTGAGTTTCGACCCTTTAAAGTGTCAGAATAGCATTTGATTGAGAATTCAGAGTTCTGTCAGGTGGAAAGATCTGATCTTCACAATCTTGGTGATCTCTCTATGACACAGGCGTCTGCTAGTGGAACAGACTGAGCGGAGCGGCTGTCAACCCTCCTTCCACGCCAGTGCACAGCGGTGAAGCCCACCCTGTTCCGGGCCTGGTGAAAGTGAGCATGGTGGAGAATGAGGAAAGCACAGGGTGGGAGAAGGTCCCGATCTGCTGGTCATAGGGTCTTTCTGATTTGTAGGTGACTTGACATCTAACAACAACAGAACGAGAGCGAAAGGCTTGGCTTGTCTCCCCCTGTAGTGAAAGTGATTGTGTTAAGTTTTGTGAGGGAATCGAAACTTGAAGTCCGATAGCCTCCTGTTAAAAATCCTAGTCTTACCTCCTGCTTATTTGTAAAATGTGGACCATGGAACCTTCCCTAAAGCATTGCCGTGCGGGTTAGTGAAGGTGAGAACACAGGCGGAAGGTGGAACTTGGTATAACACAGTTGTTTTTCTATGCGGTTGGTCCCCGAGACCCATCCTGTACTTGTCCTGTTATTGTCAGGGGTCATCTACTTGGCTCTGACTCAACATGGCCCCGTGAACAACAGAATGAAAACCTGCCCTATCCGGCCCCAGCCAGGCTCTGCGTCAGCCCATTGCTGCTGTTTATAGTTTCTATGTCTATGTCATTATCCTTCTTTGATGTATTTGATTTATTGATACACCTGGCTGCCCGTTAATATCTTAAGCTATCTGTCTACCCTTCAGAGTTGGGTTAACCGGCTTATCTATAAATCCAGAAAGGTGGTGCTTGTTAGCTGCTGTCAGGTCAGCTACTGCTCATAGCGACCCTGTGAACAACAGATCAAAACGCTGGCCTGTTCTGAACCCTCCACGTCACCTCGGATGCACTTGAACCCATTGTTACAGCTACTGTGTTCACTGATCTCATTGAAGGTCTTCCTCTCTCTTGCCGACCTTTCACCTTTCTAAGCATTAGGTCATTTTCCAAGGACTCATCCCTTCTGACAATATGCTCAAAATAAGTGAGATGAAGTTTCACCATCTTTGCCTCCAAGGAACACCCTGGCTGTCTGTTCTTTTGGCAGTCCATGGGATACTCAGTTCTCTTCTCCAACACTACAACTCAAAGGCATCAATTCTTTTCCTGTCTTCCTTAATCAATGTCCAACTTATAGGTGCATAACAAGTAATTGAAAAGACTTTGCCTTGAATCAGATGCACCTTAGTCTTTAAACTGACATCATTGCTCTTTAATACTTTAGAGAGGCCCTTGACAGCAGATTGACCCAATGCAGTATGTCTTTTGTTTTCTGGCTGCTGGTGGCCAGGGTGTTGACTGTGAGGGGTATTCACTGAGTTTTTAGCTTTTCTATGTAGTGCTTAACAAAGTACTGAATAATTATAATGCCGTTACCTAAAATATAGTATTTTTGCTATAGTAATGCATGTACCTAGTTTGGTAATATACTTAAGATATTTTTACCTATTTTATATATTCAAGGTAATTTCTTTATATCTAAAAAGACCTATGGTAACTAATAATATTTGACTTCTGACTTTCACATTAGCTGTAATGTTTGAAAAGAAAAGATGAAAGCTGGAGAAAAAGAAGAGAAAAAAGAAGGGAAAGTACTTCTATGTACCGATGGCATGAAACTCTTCCTTTTCCCCCCAGCCACTGTATGCCTATTGACACACAGGGAAAAATGTGTCTAAGAAAGACGGGAGAATGAGATAGCTCGATAAATCTGGAGAAAGCTTGAAACAGCATCTGTTGTGGTTGTTCCTGTTAATTTTGCCTTGGTTTCAAAATGCTTCCCCCCCCGGCCCCCTGCCCCTTCTCATTATGATCCTTTCTTGGTTCACATTACCTTGAGCAGCTTTGATGAGGAAAGTGGAACTTGGCAAATGATTATGAATGAAAATGCCTAGATAATAGAAAATGATATTTGGAGGAGGAGCAGGAACAGGAAGTCAGGTGAGGAAGAAGAAAGGGGTGGGTTGTGAGCAGCTTAAGACTTGGTAACTGTAAGAAGCACCAGCAGCTGCACTGAGAAAGCAATGAGCCTTGTGGCCCGAAGGCTGGGTCCCAGACAAACCCTCGCGCTGTCTGACTTTACACCTTCTTTCTCACGCTTAACAGAGGGTTCATTCTGACTAGATCATCTCTCTTGTTATTCTGACTAGATCATCTCTCTTGTCTTTTCCAGCCCTGAAACTCATAATTCTGAAAAGAAACAAATGATTTCCCAGTGCTTCTTGACATTCTGCCTAACATTTAAATACCAACAGTCAATATTAGCATCAACAATTATCTATTGAATACTTGTTTTTGTGTAAGTCTTTGCTCTTTGAGAGCCCTTCTTCCTCAGGGCTTCCATTCTGTGTCTTCCTTCGGCTTTTGTTGACAGGACTTCTTTGTCTTTTCTTTTTCAAGCTACTGCTTAAAGAGGAAGTCTTCCTGGAGGTGGATGGACACCATGACTGTAACAATGGGCTCAGGTGTATCAGAGATGGTGAGGATGACACTGTTCATAGGATCGCTATGAACCTAACAACACAGCATTTATCTAGAAATACCTATTTATGTATCTCTATTTATCTATGTTGTTGTTGAGTACCATCTAATCAGATCTGACCCATAGGTGACTCTCTGTGGGTTTTCAGAGGCCAATAATTGCACAGTAGGAGATTGCCCACCCTTCTCCTGTGGGACAGCTGGTGTATTTGAACCATGTGCCTTTGGGATTGCAGTGCAGTTT